GATTAAAAGAGTTAACTTTTATAATAATTTTATAAATGCCTTAGAGAGGACATTCTGCTTTAATATTAATTTTCTTCAAAGTTTCCTCAAATTTTTATCACTTAGGTTAATAAACTTAGCAACCCATAGGTACAGGGTTGGCTTTTCCTCGATGTTTTTCTAATTTGGTTCCTTTATTGGTGGTGGTATTTTAAAATTTTTGGCTCCTTCATTTACATAAACATAAAAATTGTGGACAGCTAACTTTGCCTCTAAAAGACTTGATATAATCTCTCTTAAGGCTTGCTAGTGTATATCAAAGGCGTACTATGTTAAATTATAATTTTATGCATATTTATCAAATGCTTCTGGGTTTTGAGGATTCCATGATAAGGAAGCATATTTACTTACCACAGGCACAGTTTTTCAAAAATCCAGGATTTTGTAAGTAGGACCACTGGGGAAACTTAAAGATTTTATCATAATATAATACAACAGAGGCATGAGACTCTGCAGTTTTGAGTCACCAGATGTCCGGCTTTGAATTTGCCCGTTCAATTAGACCCTTCTGTCTGAGAACTGAGAAAGCATGGAGTTATATTTGGCATTTTCTAATTAAGCCAGCTTTTTGGTTATGTTTATGTTTACATTATGTTTATCATGTTTATGATGTTATCTGCAAACAAGTATTCTTGCTCATTTCAAGCTCCAACTTTGTCTTGCCCATCTGAGCATGAGAGCATGAACCTTCCTGTCATGTCAGAAAAATGCTGTAAACAGAATGGACAGTTGCCAGCTCACCTGTGTGCTATCCACCAGCCAGGCATAGACAACATGCGGTAGTAGTTTCTTCCATCAATGGACACTTCGTGAAAATGCTACGCACTGCTCAGCTTTCCCCTTTCCCCTATTTCACAGTGTTCTTGGAAGGTATCTGATGGCTTTTCTTTTTTTATGATTTAATTTATTCATTCATTCATTCATTCGTTTATTTTAGGAAGAGAGAGCAAGAGCGTGAGCAGGGGGAGGGGCAGAGGGAGAGACAGAATCTCAAGCAGACTCCCTGCTGAGTGTGGAGCCTGACGTGGGGCTTGATCCCACAACCCTGAGATCATGACCTGAGCCGAAGGCAGATGCTTAACTGGCTAAGCCACCACCAGGTCTTTTTTTTTTTTTTTTTTTCTTTAAGCTGAATTCATGTAGGTTACATTGAAAATTAACCTTTACTAGTTCCAGTTCATACAGTTAATTTAGATACCTCCCAATATTGTTAGTATGCAAAGACCCCTAATATCTAAAGAAGTAATTTCCTTTTGAAAATTCAGCAAATCATGCTTTGCATGGTCTGAATTTGAAAAATCTCTGATGAACAAATTAAAATCTGTATATTGTCACCAAGAGTAAGTAGTTTTTTCTAGGTTTTCTAAATCTGGAGATGAGTACTCTAGAGATGATGTTCATATGCCTTAAGAAAACATCTCATTTTCAGTGGAGAAAAATTTGGTGTATCAAAATTTGTGTCAAATGCCAGTGCATATGTAAATTTTAGTATCTTGGGTAATATGTAAACTGCTGAATGCAAGAGTCTGAGAAGTGCTGAGTGAGAAGTACATTCTGTGTTTAACCACTCCCCACTCTGCTGCCTCATACCCCATACACACTTCTTTTCCCTAAGTTTTTGACATTTATTAGGTTCTCATCAGTGTAAATTTGCCCATGGTAAATAGTGTATGAAGCACAAATATATGCCTTCCCATCTTACATTCCAAAGTTCTTTAACCAGTTTGAAATCTCTGATGTACAGTTACACTGGCAGCCACTGTAAACGTTCTTCACAGATCCTTTACAGTCCCAGAGCTCCTTTCTGTCATCAATTCTCTGAAGTAGAGTAAAAGGGGCCTGTTTTTCATGAGTGGGCATTTCTCCATAGATGACTGTGTACTATGATTTGACATCTGCAAAACCAGATCAGTGTTTGGAGTTCCTCTACTGGAGAAGAGCAAAGAGAATCCAGAGCTTGCAAAGTGCAAGAACCATGCAAGACCAGAAGGTTTGACCTATACACACTTGACACACATGTCTTATCTGGAAACAAAATTCTGGATTTTTGTTCTCTTTTTTTTTGCCACTGCTTCTTCATCTTCCTAACCTCTACAGGTTGTTCCAGGCCTTTGTCTTCTACCTGTACATGTTTCCCTGGTGATTTCATTTAACCTCATAGCTCTGAATACCATCTATTTGCTAAAGGCCTACATTATTATCTCCAGTCTGTATCTCTCTCTTGATTTCCACTTGGGTGTCTACTAAGACCAGCAAACTCAGTACGTCCAAAATTGAGCTCCTGATCAATCCCACTTTCAAATGTGCTTCTCCCAGTCTTTCCCATTTTAAAAAATCACAACTTTATTCCCCTAGCTGTTCTAACCAAAATTCTCCACTCTTCTGTTTCTTAACATCCCACAGCCAATCCAACAAGCATATTCTGTTGGCTCTACCTTCAAACCCAGAATCTGGCCACTTCTCAGCCCTTCCACTACTACCACTGTGGCCCAAGTTCTAACATCTCTTGTTTATTGCAATAGCATCCAAACTGGTCTCTGAACTCTCATTCTTGCATCCCTACTCTTTATCTAGAGAAGCCAGTGGCTCCCCATCTCACAGAGTAGAAGTCACGACCCTTATCATGACCTATGACACCATCACGATCTGCTTGCCAAAGAGCTCAGTGATGTCATGTTCTACTACTCGCTTCCTTGTTCATTCCATGCCAGCCTCACTGGCACGTATGCTGTTCCTGTAACACCCCAAGCATATTCCACATTATACTAGCTGTTCCTCTGGGTGGAACACTTTACCCTCAAGTATCCATATGCCTTACAGTCATTATTTTATCAGATCCATACTCAAACGTCACTTAACAAGAGGCATTCCTTGGTCACATTAGCTAACATTATACATCCTTGACACTTCCTATCCCCATTCCCTACTTTATTTTCTTTGTACTTATCACCATCTAGCACAGCATATATTCACTTACTACTCTTGCTTATTGTTTGTCACTCCTCAATAGAATGTAAGCTCCACAAAGGGACAGATTTGTGTCTATTCTTTTCACTGTTGTATCTTGAGTGCCTAGAACAGCATCTGGCACATAGTTGTCACTCAGTAACTATTTGCTGCATAAATGAAAGGGTTTTTAAAAAACAAAAAATAAAAGCCACACGATATAATATACCACAATTACAACAGGTACTGTAATTAGTCATCAATAATCTATCTTCCTAACTACATAAGAATTTCCAAAGGCAAAAATCATATCTTACATCCCTTTTCATTCTTAGGGATTGGGATAGAATGTTACATATATAACAACTACTCAATTAAATACTTGACAGCAGAAAATTTTGCCTAAAGACAAATCCCTAGGAGGCAAAAATAGAACAGAATAATTATCTAATTCAACATTAGACTGGCATGTAAGGAAGGATGGCTCTAAAAGTAGTCTTTTCCCCTCTGGTACTTATGAGCCCTAGCTTCCAGTGCTAATTTAGGACAGCCACTCCAAAAATGATCATGGACACCATGAGTCTGGATGGCTAACACACTTGTAGTCAAGGACAGAGGTAGAAGGTTGGCTCTGGACTAGACAACTTGGCCACTCATCTTAGTTTATCTTTGGGACCAGTGCCTGGAATGGTGGAGATTTTTAAGAATCACTATATAGTTCTCTCTTCTATAAAACCGTAATAACTCTTCAGACTATGATTACACTTCCTCAAAAGCAGCGACTTTTGTGGACCAAAGCTCGAACAGTCGATGGTCCCTGGAGAAGTGGCAGAGAGTCATCAACATAACATTACAAATAATGACAGCAGAAGAGGTGAAAGAAGGTGACTCTGAGCCAGTCCGAGCCACATAGAACCTGTATGAAATATAAATAGGCTATAAAATGGTTACACCCAGACAGGTTTGCAACATAATTTAGGTTCACATCTAAACTGGTTTGAACACATACTAAAGAAGTACAGTGTAAATAAGATGAGAGGAAATCTTATTTCTCCAAAAATGACTCTTTGGAGAAAAGTGTTTGCTCACCTGACTAATCTCTAGAAAACAACTAGATTACAACAACAAAACCCAACAAAAAACCAAGAACAAAATCAAAAAAACCCAACCCAAACAACCAAACCCTGATTTTCAAAAATACAACCCAAATCGCAGAATGATCCATATTAAACAACATAGAGACTATAAATGATTCCATATTATCTACCTATGAAATGTCCATGACTTAATGTCTAGGTTCACTAAGCAAATAATAATACAACAATGCAAAACACCAAAACACTCCCTACTTTTCAAATTCTTTTATTTTATTTAATCTTAATTATGTTTCTTTAAAATTACCTGACCTGTCTAATAATCCAATGATATATCCACTGGTAAGCACACAAATCATCATACAGAACGCACTTGGTAGGAAACAGGGAAGAGGTTGTTTTGACATTGACATTAATTCCTTTGGTGTGTAACAGCTGAAGTGGTTTGTTTTTCTTTCCCCATTTCTCCTTTCCGTCACCCACTCCGACCATGCATATAACTTACTAAATTACCTGAGCCGACATCACATATGGCAGCATCAGTAGCTGTGTGAACAGGACACAAACTACGCAATACCAAGTTTCTACACAACACTGGCCCCCAACCAATCTCAGTGCTTCAACAAGACCACTTAATGCTCTTTCAAAATTTAAAGGCAAGGAATAAACTCAGAAACAACACTTGACCCAGGACTGGCAAAGGTACTAGCGCTCAGATAAATGTTATCTCTGTAAAGTAACTTTGTTGCCACTTGGTTGTAAAGAACAGAACTTTCTAATGACTATTAACTGTACATTAACATACTATATTTCAACGTCCTTAGCAGGAAAAGCAGGATGTTTTGTGTTATTCTAACACTCAATAACAAGCCCATAAATTACCAGATAAAAGCTAGGAATTTTTTCCTTTTATTAGCTTACCCAGTTTGGTGGCGCCCTCTGGTGGGTACTCAGGAAACTGGCCTTCGGAAGGGACACTGACCGTTCTCCTCAGGCATCGCCCTTTGCTGGAATCTGTCTGTTGCTCCTGTCCTCCCTCCACAGGTATCTAATGGACCCAAAAGAAAAAGGAGATGAAACTTAATAGTGAACTTGCCATAACTACCTTCTGATTGAATAATATTTTTAGTTAATAAAGACAGGAGTTTGTATTCATTAGAGCAAAGTAAACAAAACTTAGAAATCAAGTATTTACAATGGTAAGATATTACCAACCCCTTGTCAGGAAGTTTTTCTTTAAAAAGAAACCTGAAAGATCAGGAAAGGTGAGTATGTAAATTAGCTTACCTAAGTACAAACAAGTCATACCCAGGTGTGTACCTGCTTAGGGAGCTCTGAAAACAAAACAAAACACCCACACAAATAAAAGATTCTTTTGCATCAGAAACTAGTTCACAAACTCCAACTCTGGCCAATGCTCAAGAAGGAAAATTGAAATCAAAGCCAACCACAGAGACTTAGCTCCCAAACTCCATTTAAAAAAGGTTTTGTCAGATAAAAGGAGTAAAATCAGCCAAATTTTCTTCAGTTTTACAATTAAGCACTTGGAGATAGAGGATAAAACACATTTCAGCGGAAACTTTTGATACATAAAATGGCATATTTTCTTCTAAAAGTGAGATTAGTTTTTAAAATCCTAAAAAATTTTTTGCGGGCATAATTTCAGGAACATTTAAAGTGTTGTTTGTATATATGGAATAAAAACTATGAATGGTGCAAAAGATCTCTAATACCAATAACTGTCTTAAAACTTACTCACAGGTTATCACTGTAAAGTAATGGGATGACCCTAAGTTCCTTTCTCTCTCTCTCTCTCTTTTTTTTGGTAATATGCTAAAAGATCAAATCATTTTAGTTTAGTGGTAAAAGGCATAAACTTTTCACAAAGTTTTTTTTTTTTTTTTTTAAGATTTTATTTATTTACTTGACAGAGAGAGAGACAGCAAGAGAAAGAACACAAGCAGGGGGAGTGGGAGAGGGAGAAGCAGGCTCTCCACCGAGCAGGGAGAGCCCGACATGGGGCTCGATCCCAGGACCCTGGGATCATGACCTGAGCCGAAGGCAGACACTTAATGACTGAGCTACCCAGGCGCCCCTCACAAAAATATTTTACCAGTAACCTTTATCAGAATTAACAATAGCACTGGTAACATCTTAAATAGTCTGGCAAAATAGGTCAGTAATTAAATATAGTTTCCAAATTCTTCTGGCTCCAATACTGAAATTTCAACAAATTTCAATAATAATGATTAGCACTGAGATCTTACTTTGCGCAAGGCTAAGGAATTTACATGTGTGACATTATGAGCAAGCTATTTTTATTACCATTCCCTTTTTACAGATGAGGAATAATTTATATCTCCAAATGATGACAGTGGACACATAGGATAGACATCAACTAATCCAGCAAAATTGGGATGGATAAAGGCTTAACTGTATATGCCTCCTGCCTTGCCTCAGTAACCCAACTGCTATGACTGGGGTCACGGGGATGATAGCAAGGGAAACTCTCCGTGTTACAGAGAACCTGAAGGGCCAACTCCTAATGTCTTCATAAAAACTGAAAGTTTGCATACTCTTTATAGGACCAAAAATTCCTGTAACTATGGTTACTGCTTGCTTGCACATTGAGAAACCACAAGGCAGAATGAAGAAAGGTAAAATTCTAAAAAATAAGAGGAGACCAAATAATAGCATCAATAAAGACATGAACTCTTCCAAAAGTACTAAGACTTTACGAAGAGTAAGCTGAATCATCCATCCCTTTCAAGATAGAAATTATATTATCTCTACTTAAATAATTAAGAGAATAGTACCAAGAGGTCAGATAACTCCTTCCTAGTAAGAAAAGCAAAAATGTATTCTCTACCCACCTTCAAAGTAGGATAGATGGGGGTAAGCTTTGGAAAAAAATAGTTTGAATCTTTGAACAAACAGATGAACTTAAATAAACACAACCATTTTTGCTATAGCTCTAAAAATGCCAATAATCTGAAATAATGAAGGCCTAAGCCACGCAGAAAAAAGACAGTGGTTGTTTTTTATGTTTTAGGAAGGAATGACCCATTATGATCTTTTCTGTGGAAATTTATACTGACCATATCCAGAAAAAAGAAATAGGTTCTATTATCATATACTTTGTCTCTAACATATCTAAGGCAGAGAAAAATAAAATATATCAAACTATTTTGTCAAAGTTTTAATGTAGATTCTTTGTTTCCCATTCTTAAAATATGATCAAAGGTTTTGTTCAAAGGATCACTCTTAAAGGTTAGGGCATTTAACTGCTGACTCAGAATACTGAGGGAGAACAGTGTTGACTTTTATTCTAAACCTGCATTTCTTAAGAATATTTTACTTTTACAACACTATCAATTGATTCTTACCTAAAATATTTTTTTAAAACCTATTGATCTACTCTCTGAAAATCAGAGGGATCATATTCCAAATATCTTAAATGAACTAAGCTGGAGTTCACAAATCTTAGAACACAGCCAGAGAATCAGTTTTAGAAAGTCAATTTTAGAAAAGCAATCTTGTTCTTTCTGATTGCCCTAATTTAGTTTACTAGTTCACATTTGCTTGTTTATACTGAATAAGTCCTTAAATATTACATATCTTCCCAGTTTTAAAACATGAGAGGAATTTTTCTTTTTTTTAATTTAACCTCTTTGCCTTTATACTGTGGTTCTGAATGCTCTTTTTCCTCAGGGGAGTGGGGAGGATGGGTCAAGTGCTTTAATTCATTCAACTTTAAGGATTTATTTATTTGAGAGAGAGAGAGAAGGAGTGTGGATGGGGTGGGACGGAGGGAGAGAGAGAGAAAATCTGAAGCAGACTCCACGCTGAGAAGGAGTCCAACACAGGAATGGATCCCAAGACCGCGAGATCATGACCTGAGCCGAAACCAAGAGTCGGACGCTTAACCAACTGAGCCCCCCAGGCACCCCTTAATTCATTCTATTTTAGATAAGGAAAGAACATAGTAAGGTGTAAATGACTTCTCGGGTATCTAAGACATGCTAATAACAAAGTCAAACTGAATCTCTGACTCCTAGTCCTCTTTGTTAGTTCCAAACTATCAATGACAATGAGGAGCAATATGGCACAAATAAATCAGGTTACTTAGAAAACATTATATATATAACATATACCTCTATATTGTCTGCAAAAATCCCCTTTCATTTTGTTTAGAATTACATAGAAATTAATTTTGATTTCAATCTGAGTACATACAGATTACACAGATAGTCAAGTACAAGAAACCAAGATCACACTAATAGCAAAAGAAAGCAGCGCTGGGGCACCTGGCTGGCTCAGTTGGTAGGTAGAGCATGCAACTTGGGGTTGTGAGTTCAAGCCCCATGCTGGGTGTGGAGCCTACTTAAAAGAAAAGAAAAGAAAGCAGTTCCTAAAGAATGCTTAAAAAATGTTCGGGTCTACTATATCCTTAGAAGGACTTTTTAATCCTTTTAAAGAAAAAAAAAAACTTCCTCAGCTTTCTTATCTCCTTAAGTAGTGGATCTCAAAGCAAGCGGCTGTCCAGGCCCCAGCATCAGCATCAACTGGGGAACTTGTTAGAAATACACATCCTGGGCGCCTGGGTGGCTCAGTTGGTTAAGCGACTGCCTTCAGCTCAGGTCATGATCCTGGAGTCCTGGGATAGAGTCCCGTATCGGGCTCCTTGCTCGGCAGGGAGTCTGCTTCTCCCTCTGACTCTCCCCCCTCTCATGTGCTCTCTCTCATGTTCTCTCTCTCAAATAAATAAATAAAATCTTTAAAAAAAAAAAAAAAAAAGAAAAGAAAAAGAAAAAGAAATACACATCCTCGGGGCGCCTGGGTGGCTCAGTCGTTGAGCATCTGCCTTCAGCTCAGGTCATGATCCGGGGGTCCTGGGATCGAGCGAGCCCCGCATCAGGCTCCCTGCTAAGCGGGGAATCTGCTTCTCCCTCTCCCACTCCCCCAGCTTGTGTTCCCTCTCTCGCTGTGTCTCTCTGTGTCAAATAAATAAATAAAATCTCAAAAAAAAAAAAAAAAGAAAGAAAGAAAGAAATACACATCCTCAGGCCCTACCCCCAACCTACCGAATCAGAAACTCTGGGGGTGCAGCCCAGAAACCCAAGTTTTAACATGCCTACAACGATTCATATGCTTACTAGGGCTGAGAATCGCTGCCCTAAGGTGGTGTTTCTTTCCTTCCTATCCTGGCTAAGCTTCTCAAAGTGTCATCCCTAATAGAGGTTCTCAACCTTGGCTGCAAATTATAATCACCTAAGGGAGCTTTAAAAAACACTGACACCTAGACCACTCCTAGACATTCTGAGTTCAGGGGCTGGAGTGTAGCCTGGGTACTGAAATGTTTAAAACTTCCCAGGTCACTCTAATGTGCAAGCAAAGCTGAGAACCACTGATCTAGTCTCAGTACCTCCAGCTGTAATTATTTGTTTATTAATCCTTGACCACCAGTACTATGTGGTGTGGAGGTATAAATGTGGCGACATAAATAAAATCACTTAGCTTTACTAAATCTCAACTTCCGCATTTCTCAGGCAGGATCTTTTTGGTCTCTCAGCTGGATGCCTGGGGTAAGGCTTTAAAGAAGTTTCTCACTGGCAGAGCAGGTCTCTGTCATTGTTCAGTACAACACTGGTATCTCTATTTTGTTCTCAACACTTCAGTCGCTCTCTGGAAAACCTAGGTAGTCTTGCCCTGAGCATGTGTAGTCCGGCCCTTGGCCAAAGACTTGCCAGTATCCTTTCCAGCAGATTCTAGCACGTTCCCCTGTAGAATTCTGCTCTCCGCCTCCTCAGTTCAGTGGGACTACCGCACTATGCTTGGACTTCAGGTAGAAGAGCACAGTTGGGAAATGGTACACAGCAGACAGCCAAGGCAATGGAGATGATCACTGTCTTTGGCTCTGTATTGTCCAATGCCTGAAAACATTATGTATAAATATATATAATCTCTAGTTTTATGGGGTTTTTTTTCAATGGGAGGGCTAGTCTTGTACCAGTTAGTCCATCACGGCTGGTGCCAAAACCTCTTATT